TATAATGAAGAAGAAGAAAAAATGTAATGGTTTTCTTGCTTTTTTATAATACAAAAATCACTGAAAGACATAACAAGCAGCTATAAAATACAACAAGTCTACAAACAACATAAATTGCATTATTAATAGTTTAAAAGAAGTGACATCAGCTAACAATATGTATGTGCTGTTTAACTCGGACATCGTACGAAACCAAACATAAGTTGTAGATTCAAGATGGCTGCCATTATTGCCTCGACTGGAAGGCTTTGAAGAGTTTCTTAGGATGTTTGAGTACGACCGACGGGGTAGAATTCCAGTCTAATTTGTACGTATACGTATACACACAAATCGTATAAATACACAGAAATATACACACACACACACACACATACACACACACACACACACACACACACACACACACACACACATACACACACACATATACACATGTCCACACACACAAATACACACTCATACATATATACATTTACACACAAAAAAACACACACACGTGAATATACTCACCCCTACACACAAACACTCGTGCATGCACACACTCTTGCAAGCATAACATCTTTATACAGTGGAACTCCCATTAAACAAAGTCGTCGACCTGACCTTCAATTTCGTTGAATCCGAGTGTTCGTTACAGCAAACATGAGGATTTTGTGGAGATAATTACATGCTCCAAGCAAGTGTATAGTCTATCATCTATAACACACAGGTATGTTTTCCGAATAAGCTACGTTGCTGTGTTGGGACTAGCATACAGCAAAGTTTGATTCCACTGTCCACTGCGCAATTCACTGCGTTGATCTATGTCAAGACTAGCTTATCATTGTAAAGTCAATTAGTAGCCGGGGGGAAAAAAGTGGGAAGCGTTTGCATCTCTACTGACGTTACGTTCCACGCCCGTCCAAACCTGACACACGCTAAGATATGTGTGTGTGTGTGTGTGTGTGTGTGTGTGTGTGTGTGTGTGTGTGTGTGTGCTAACAACGTCTATTTAGGTGTGAGAGAAGGCCTCTGATTGGTCTCATAAGATATAAACAATATGCTAAGAGAATAATGGCTCACGATGCAGGCGCCATGGATAGTTTCCAAGAACAAAATATAAAGTTCGTTGAGGGAGAAAAATTAACGAAGCCAGGTCAGCGGGGGCTGTTCACCCTGGAACCAACTTCGTTGAACCCGAGTTTGCTCATTTATGGGTCCGTTGGATCCAAGTTATTTTTATTGATTTTTATTTAAAAGAAGAAAACAGTGAAACCCAACTCCTTCAGTTTAATCCGAGTTTTTGTTGAATCCGAGTTCCACTGTACACAAACGCTCTTGAACAAAAACAATCTGTGTTATGATGCATCTGGATCCTCCAGTTCTGCATTCTATCTTCTCTGTACAAATAAAAAGAAGCACATTATTGTACAAGCACCCTGCACAATGATAACAAAGCACTCTGGTGTGAGATGTAAAATGAACAAGAAAATGGCCACCAAAGTTCAGGGACTTCCAAAGCTTATGTATTCTTGGAAACTGCAAATTTACATTTTATGTGCCTTTGATCAACGTTTTTCAGCAAAAATCCACAAAGGCATGTGTTTGAAGGGCACATAAAAGATGTTGAGTGTTAAAAAAATTAAAATTTTAAATACGTGTTCCCCATCTGCCAGAAAAATGCAGGTTTCTTTGATTTCATTATTTTGACTAGCGCCTGATTTCACCACGATGCCTTACATTTTATCAACCCCTTCACTGCTATGGTGACCTAGGGCTCACGTCTCCTCCATGTGGTTAGTGTGACCGTGTTTCGGGCGACTCTTAAGGTATTTTTAATGTGTCAGAGTCAGCTGATGCTGAATTTATTTCGCTTTAAATGTGTATGCTGTATATCCCAATCATTCTCCCCTCTCTCCCACCAACAACTCATCCTCCCAACCCCGACCCGAGCGTGCGAGGCATATTGAGCATTTTCAATTTGGTAGGAATTTTGAACTTTGCTCGGGTGACGGCCAAAACCTACTCTTATCGATTTTAGTATAACCAATGGACTTTTAAGATGCTCAACTTGCTCACGGTACCTCCGGCTCCCTTATCCGAGAGGGCTAGGTGTTAGATCTTACCTACCATAAGATCAGGGTTGTGGCTGAAAGACGGTGAAAAGTAGGGGTCAAGAAGAAGGAGTAGAAAGGCTGCAGAAAAAGTCAGGAGCTTAGAGGAGGGGGCAAAGGGGAGAGGGGGAGAAGGTAGAAAGTGGAGACGAAAGCAGACGACAGAAAATGGTTAGAGAGCAGGAATGGAGGTGAAAGGAGAAAATTATAGACAAGAACATTTTCAGTTGCAGTCAGTTTTCGAGCCTGTGACCTATTGAATAAGAGGCGAATACCGTAACCTCTAGACCACGAGAAGAGCCTCCCTGCTAATATTTATTTCTTTCCCCAGGAACAGAGAGCAGGTGGGGGAGGAGATGGATTTCGTCGTGGCGGTCAAAGACTTGCATTGGTTAGGTCAAAATCTGTATGTCTGGTCGTTTTAATTAAAACAGTTTAGGTTCTTTGGTAAGCAGCTGGCAGCTCCAATCCTGCCTATTTGTGCTAACTACGGTGTATGTTACACTATCCAGTAGACAGATGAAGATGGCAATTGCTAAATCATTATGATTGTGACGATGGCCTTTTTTTTCTATTTTTTTGAAATTTCAAATATATCTAGTATAAATACGTTAAATGCAGCCATGCAAACTGTGCAGGGACTGACCACACAACATTCTTAACCCCTCCACTTTCAGACACGACAATTGAGTAATGGGACAAGTCAAGAAGTAAAGGCTTATTCCTGCGTTTCATAATTCTCAGTCTATAGGCATAATATACTGGCGATCAAACGAAAGGTACCACTTACATTGCTTTAACAATATAGCCTTTGGAGCGAAGCAGTGATGGGGTTGTATACGTCTCTACACTGCTCTAACATGTTTGGTAATACTCAGAAATAAATCATGGCCGAATGCACGTTGCAAAATCCACATGATGGCCCTTTTTCAGATAGCCAAAAGAGTTTGACAATGCTTGAAACGGTTTTGTCTTGCATTATACGATAAGATCCCATTCAAACTTAAACTAAAACAGACTGGACACAGTGATGTCTTACAAACACCACTGTAATCTTTCCCTCAAATCTCGTTTCCCCCAGATAGTTGAATCTATTAGTGTGAAACGTAAATTTACCAGTCAAAAAAGCTTAATTAAAGTGAGACCTTTATCGCAACAGACATTTAGATTCACACACACACACACACACACACACACACACACACACACACACACATACACACTCGCGCACACACACACATAAACACGCACACATATACTCACGCGCGGACTGCTGCTGCAAATACTACTACTACTATTACTATTACTACTACTACTACTACTACTACTACTACTACTACTACTACTACTACTACTATTACTACTACTACTACTACTACTACTACTACTACTACCACTACTACTGCTGCTGCCGCTGCTGCTACTGCTCATCCATATTATATTATGTGTGTACATAATATCCATACTCATATACAGCTAGATGCAAAGACAATCTGTGATCTGTCTTCTATCCTGTGTGATTTTTTTTTTATGTAGTGTTTTCTTCATTTCTTTTTTTGAAACTCCCCCATCGACACAATTGCATAATTTATTAGGTCGGCTTCTGACCCTACCTGTGAGGGCCCAAACCGGGCAGAGAGGGATGCAATATCCCAGCAGGAAGACCGGGATACTCGATAAACATTTTCTCCCGACTCGGGAATCGAATGTAGGTGTCCTGCTTCCGACAGAGAAGAGCCTAACTGCTGCACCACAGACGCCTGCAACCTGTGTGAAACGTTTCCTATGTCAACAATTGCACACTATACACGCATTTTCGAATCTGTGCATCGTCAGGAAGAGGGCCCAGTTGTACTTGGGAGGGGCGGTGGTAAACTTGCTTTGGCAAGTTCTAAACGAGTGATATCCGAATAGTGACATAATATAATACTGTGATGACAAGTCCTCTGTGGCCAAGTAATAATATGATAGGGAATGACTTAGGTCTAAAAAAACAAAACAAACAGTAGGGAGAGTAAAAATGTAGCACAAAAAAGAGTTAACAGAATAGTGACATAAATTGACACGCCCACTGGAGCCAAGTAATAAAAGCCCAATAAGAAATAGCTTTTGGTCTAAAGAAACAAACAAAGAAATACAAACTGAGTTAAATTAATTGTTGCACAGAAAAATTATAATGCATATATCTGTTCTAAATTTTGGATGTGTGTACTTGTCAAATCAAATGCGATTGGTCATAAGTTCTCCTACATACAACTTGTTTGCTGGGAGAATGCAATGCTAGCTTCATCAAAGACAGGTTGAATTTTATGCCGATTTCTTCGATTTCAATATAATTTGGAGAGCGCCTGCTGGTTTCACCACGATATATAATATGTATGTATGTATGTATATATATATATAAAAGATAGATAGATAGATAGATAGATAGATAGATAGATAGATAGATAGATAGATAGATAGATAGATAGATAGATAGATAGATAGATAGATAGATAGATAGATAGATAGATAGATAGATAGATAGATACTATATTGTGTGTGTGTGTGTGTGTGTGTGTGTGTGTGTGTGTGTGTGTGTGTGTGTGTGTGTGTGTGTGTGTGTGTGTGTGTGTAGGTGGGTGGGTGTGTATTCATGAACATGGGCGGTTGGGTTGTTTTTTGTTGTTTTTGTTGTTTTTTTTTGGAGGGGGGATGTTTCTTTTCTATATAATGGTGTTGTTCTGATTGCTGGAGTAGAGTTCAAAAATATTCTTGAACAAGATTATAAACTGATAAAGCACTAACCTAAGATGGGTTTTTTCGCCTGCTCTTTCTTCATTAAATAGGCATTTACCTGCGTATTTGTGTACTTCTCTGTAGAAAGAAAACTCAACACTAACGCTTTTCCAAACTTGCATATCCCCAGGACCTTGTCGGAGGCAGGGGAGGACTTGATTTGGTACGCTCAAATTTCTTGAAAAGACATAACAGGCTGCTGATACACAACAATAATATGTTTGCAGACTGCCACCAGCATACAACAGCTTTACATTACTGTAAACCCATGACGTTTTAAACGAAAATGAAAAAAAAAATAAAGGAATATTTAAATTAGCACGCCGTTTTCCAGACAACTTGAAGCCTTTGGTTTAGTTTCTCGAGATAGCTTTGGCATGAGTACTTGGGTAGGATTCTAAAATCTTCTTGAACATGGTATACAGATCCTTTCTTTTTCAACCGCCTTACTTGGAGGCGTTGAACTTTGACCTACACACTTTTTAAAATCGGGCATCATCTTTTTGGCAAACTCACCACAGGCACTCACACTCACACACATAATGTTATGATGAATACGTTTCTAGTACAAATTTATCAACTGTTTGTTTAAGCGAACGAAAACTTTTGTTTTTGTGCAAACTCAGCGATAGGTTCATCTTCGAAATTATTAGTTTTCCTTTGGCTTCGTGACCGCATGCGATTTCTAAAGAGTCCCTTGTATTTACCACTTCGCTGCTTCCCTGGGAACTTTGAACAGCAATGTTTTTTGACTGATGGTCTCGCCAGCTTTAATGTGTCCATTGGTTCCTCAAATGATAAATGGAGCATCCTTGGAATAAAAATGGGAATGGTATAGGTTTAACACTCCTGCCAATACCAGTAGGTAATTTCAAAGGCGAGACCTCCAAGTTTAGCGTCTATCTCCGAAAGAACTGAGCCAAGTGGGAAATTCATGTAAAATGCCTTTCCTAGTGACACAACATCGGATCGTAATCTGGCTTGAACGCCCAAACACGTAATCTAACGATTTCAGGCCCAGTGGCCCAATCACCAGGCTACTGACGCCACGGGCGTCTTTAGAGGGAGGGGGGGGGCGCTAAACCCCCAAAGCAGGGGCGAAGGCTGACTTGTTTGACAGGGTAATCAAAGTGAAACGGGATCAGAATCAGATATGGCCTGTAGATATCACACAAGAATCTTACTCGAGGCGGCGACTCTGAGTTGTGAATGAAAACAAATCCGGAATTCATATTGTATGTTCAACCGCCAAAATAATCGGGAAAGTATCTTTTTAAATATCAGTTCCAACTAAAATTAAATTTAACTTTAGATGTGAATACAAAAACGCAAAGCAAAAAAGCAGAGATGTCAGTACTAGATCTATATGTTATAGATCTACCAGTAAGTCTAACTCTTTGGTAGAACATGACAATTATCATTTTTTAAATTTCACATTTGGCTGTTTTTGTTAGCCTTTCGCGGCCAGGAGCTGGTGTCATAATCGAGGTCACGATCTAATTATAGGACGGTAAAAAGTCGAGGAAAAAAAACAAGCACACGCAGCAGTCAAGAGATTATTAGGAGTTAGTTCCCCTCACATTTGTGAGGTAGACTCGACCAGCGTTAGTTAGCATACATAATCAGGGCTTGAGATTGATTTTAACTGTGGCCCCAAAGGGGTGAACAGGGTATATGTGGCAATGAAACAGCTTGGACTGCTATGTACATGTTCCCTTCAAATCTATTGGTAGACTCTTCCAGACTCACTTTAAGCTTACTTAATCAAAGCTTGCCATGCGACTGCTTATGGAGTGGCCCGAGAGGGGTGAGGAGGCTATTTCTGAGGCCGTGAAACCGTTTTGAATGTTAGACATACTGTTCATTGTTGATTACGAACGTCTTTTTACATTTAATTTAAGAGGTTTACGTTTAAGAATGAATTTGACAGCGACAATGTTTCGAAATTAGGAAGGGAAGCAGTGATTATTTGATTATATAGACGCTTCGCCCCTGCCTCAAAGTCAAAATTCGGCTCAAAATTATGGAATTTGTGTTGTAGGCATTTTTAGCTTCCTCAGCCTCTCCTACAACTATTTCATCACATAAAAACCCCAAAAAACCGTATTTTTTTCAATACTGGGTATGTTTGTCACCGCCATTTCCTCATAAAGTTAGTATTTTATTTTTCTTTATCGGCTGTTTTCTCAAAACGCGACTTTTCTCTATACTTTTTAAAATAACTCCATCATTTTTCTTCCAATCTTCATGAAATTTTCACAGAATGAAGAGAAGATATAATACTAAAAATTTGTCTGTTAAATTTTTTATATATGGAATAAATTTTTGTTGGTGGTGTCTGGAGTGTGGATTTTTACGGATTTTTTGAAAACTTGAATGCTACCTCAGGAAAAAATTAATTAAAAATTTTCTAATCCGTTTAGGAAAAAAACAACAGACAATTTTTAGATCTAATGTTTGTAAACACGAATGCAAAAAAACATTTAATTTCCAAGAGCAGTAAGTGCAGTATTCATTACGTAAGACATGTCAACAAAATCCAATGTGGCAGCCATATCCATGGAAACGAAACTTTTTCTCAAATTTGATTGTGGATTTAAAGACTCCTTACTATGTTTGTTACATGTGTGAACTTGGGTAAAATTCGGTCCAGTAATAAGCGAGATAGCCTTCAGGTGTAGCCCCCCCCCCCTCTTAAGTGAAAAAGAAAGCAACAAACAAATTGAATTAGATTTAAATTTGAGTGTCGCCAAGGCTTCGGATAGTGGCAAAAATTCATTGTTGCTCAATATCGGCGTTAAGTCGTTTCAAACTGTTCACTTGTGGACCTCTCCGGCAGGCGCGGTTCGTCCATAGAGCACGGTCGGGCAGTGCCGCCCAAAATGTTTTAATGTTCTATTACGTAAAGCACCAACAAAAGTAAAATAAAAGACGCCAGAAATAAACACTAGCCAAATACATTGTATTATATCAAAACAAAGTCCTCGCTGGCGCGGTAACTGTCATTTCTGTGTCTATAGTGCCGCAAAACATTTACTATGCCTTGCCAAAGTTCATGCGCTGTATCTAAACATAACAGGATATTCAACAGCGGAAACCTGACCTATAAATCGCTCTTTGGGATAACCCAAGCGATGACGCCACTCGTAGAGAGTTTGGCGGTACATAAATATTAATAAGACGGCACATCTCAAATGTGCTCCTGCCGAATAGTGCCAAAACATAGCCCAGAGTAAGCAATCTAAAAATAAACGCGACAGACTGTGCACTATTCGATGCCAAAATTATGTGAGCCCCGGAGCAATCCAGCGAAGTGCTCAAATGAATTGTGATTGGTTCATTGTCTTGCCCCTATTTTAAGTGACTCTGTGACCGTGAACCTGAAGGAGGGGAACGTGACATACTTAAGTCATCCATCGTCCTATGAGTTAAGCTTTTGAAAGGTTTGTAGTGGAGTGGTGAAAGGTATGACTTCAGAGTTCCTTACTAATTTGCGTTAATTTTGCCGCTTGTGTTTTTTGAGTCACTGTCTTTAAACGGCTCCCATAATAAAAAAACCATTTAAGATATCTACTGTATTTTTAGCAAGTAGTAGAGCACTGTGCTTGCTTTTACGATGTTACTTAGCTTTTAGAAATTTATTCTACTGAACCATTATAAATCTCTTCTTAAGAAGTGTTAAGTTAATTTCGCTCCGGGGTATATAATTATAATAACTCAATCTTTTCTAATACTAAATTTGGCCAAACAAGCGTGTGGCAAAATAAGTAGAACATACTAATGTTTTGGGGTTTTTTGTCATTAATTAAGGGATATGACTGAAGAACAAAATAAATTGTAATTGTGCTTGTCCTTTTTCTATGAGAGTGTGCAGTCCTAAGAATCTTTTTTTTCCTCTCTTCAGCTAAAAGAACTATCTCTCTCACAGCTGTTGAAGAAACGTTCTGTTCCGGTGAGTAAGGTCACTTGCACATTTTGTTTTTGGTATGTTGCTGTTGCTGTTGCTATTGCTATTATTGTTTGATTAATTGTTATGTAGTCGCCCCGGTTGATGTTGTTGCTGTGTTGTTGCTATTGCTGTTACTGGTAGTTGCACGGGTGGTTAGAGGGTGCCACTGGTAGGTCCTACTACTTATTTATCTCTCTACCTCTGTGTGTGTGTTGGGGGGGGGGGGGCTCTCTTGGCCAAGAGATTAAGGTATTCGTCTCTCATTCAGTTGGTCCCGGATTCGAAACCTGACAGCGAAGAAACATTTTGTTTTCTGAAATTTTCTCCTTTCATATCCTTTACTGCTCTCTAACAATGTTCTGTCGTCTGCTTTCGTCTCCACTTTTTGCCTCACCTCTTCACCTCTTTTACCCCCTCCTGACTCTTTCTGCAGCCTTTCTACTGCTTCTCCTTGGCTTCTTCTTACTGCTGTCTTTCAGCCTCACCCCTGATCTTATGATATGTAAGATCTACACCTAGCCTTCTGGAACAAGGGCGAAAACTCTCGGAGTTCTCATGTGCAAGGTGTGCCCGTTAAAGAACCGTTAATGGTCCAAAAATCTAAAAGAGTAGGCTTCGGCCGCTACCCAAGCAAAATTCAAATTTTCCTACCAACTGTAAATGTTTGGTGTGTCCCGCGCGGTCATGTGACCTTGTGTAGTTGCGAGCGCCGTAAAGCACTTACCAAAAAAAGAAATAGCTATCTTTTGTTCCTGTATGTCTGTCTTACTTTTCCCTGAGGTGGGAACGGCTGGTATGGTGCTGAAGATGAACAAACGTTCTCTCTTCGAGAGTGAAGTCACCCATTCGCTACCGTTGGAAGGGTGGATATTGGAAGATTTCATGAAGACACACTCTCAAACACACATTCATGAAGACACACTCTCAAACACACATTAATGGAGAGACGTGTGTGTGTGTGTGTGTGAGAGAGAGAGAGAGAGAGAGAGAGAGAGAGAGAGAGAGAGAGAGAGAGAGAGAGAGAGAGAGAGAGAGAGAGAGAGAGAGAAAGACAGACAGGTTGTGGCTATTTAAATCTCCAGGTAGCAACCAGTTTTCTCTGTAAAAGCACCTACCCCCCCCCCCCGGGAAATTTGGAATTGGCCTTTGGCTTGTTTCAAAATCTATTCCTTTCATGTCCTGGTCAACATTGAGTTTCAACTATTCGATTATTTGTTGGTTGTTTCCGTAGAAGCTGTTAAAAACAACAACAACAACAACAACAACAACAACAACAACAACAACAACAACTTCAACAACAACAACAACAACCAAAGGTAGTCATTGAAGGGTCTCAATTCAGAGGGAATGAGGCAACAATTCATTTACATACTTTCAGCCTATGAGGTGTTTCCCCAAACCTTTCTTATAACCATGCAAGGACCACTCTTGACATGTGTGGTGTGGCCCGATCCCATTGGAACATGGTATCTCCAGCGTAACAAATTCTCCCCAAACCTCTCCAAAACTTTCTTAGCACAGTGAGATATCCATCTGATGTGACTGTTGTGGATTTACAGGTTTTGTCTTGAAACCATAGACGGGTAGATCACCCTCTTGTAGCTGAACGCTTTTAAGACCTAAAATTTTTTACCCAATTTGGGTTGAACGTTTTAAAATAATATGATACTTCTCGAACACCTCAGTCCTCAACCGATTTTCTTCAGATTTAAAAATTTCATGTCCCCTTAGTTAAGTTCTATCTGTTACAAGTTTTATTGCGATTAGTGCTCAGATCATCATGTTATCCTTTAAGTGGGTACTCTTTTTTTTTTCTTTAGACACCCTGTACATTAAAGTCTAACCTGTTCAGTTCTTGCTTTATTTCTGCAGAAACCTCCAAATGCGGGTGGAGCGAGCAGTGCTGGAAGTGGAAGATTTGTTTAGGTGAGGTTGACACTCTTCTTCAAATGGAATAAGACTAATTGATTATTGAGGGTTCTACGCCCCTTAAAAGCTTATTATTTAAGATCTATGCTAGACATCCAAATTCAACATAACATTTCTCTAATAAGAGCAGCCCAAGAGGAAAGAGAGTGGTCAAAGTGTCTCAAAGTACTCAGTTTCAAGAACGCTCATTTAAAACGCATTGTTATCCAGCATTGTACAAACTGAGCTAGCGACACGCATTGTGGTTCCCGACACAGGAAGACAGGCCGGAATCTTGTTGTGTATCGGGCACATCGGGGACTTTGTTGAAAGGAGACACACCCTAACAATGAACTACCAGAGTTGTATTTTTCTTTTGTTTCTTATTTGTTTGTTTTTTCGGGGGTGGGGTGGGGGTTGTTAGTAGTTTGTTGTTCCATTATTAATTTATTTATTTTGTTGTTGTTGTTGTTTTGGGGTTTTTTTTCGGGTGGGCGGGGGGGGGGGGGTTGGTTAGTATTTGAGTTTATGTATCGTTATCTTTGTATCTTACTCATTTATTCATTCAGTTCAGTTCGTTAGTTAGTTACTTAGTTAGTTGGTTAGTTAGTTAGTTGGTTAGTTAGTTAGGTAGTTAGGTAGTTGGTTAGTTAGTTAATTAGTTGGTCAGTTAGTTACTTACTCGATTAGTTAGTGAGTTAGTTAGTTTCTTAGTTAGTAAGTTAGTTAGTTAATTAGTTAGTTAGTTAGTTGGTTAGTTAGTTAGTTAGTTAGCTAGTTAGTGAATACATTTGTGAGGCAGCGTGGTGGAATCAGGCTCTCTTCAAAATAATGAAATCGAAGAAAACAGCAGTTTTCTCACTGCCAAGCAATTTTTATCAAATTTTTGTTTTTTGGCTCAACACCTTTTATGTCCCTTTACAAACACATTCCTTCCGAGATTTCACCGAAAAAGTTTATTAAAGGCACAAAAATATAAATTTCCAGTAAATTTGAAATTTACCAAGCTTTGGCGGCCATTTTCTCGCTAATTTTACCTCATAAAACGGGTGACCCCCCACCTCCTTCAATCCAAAATAACTCCACTTCTATTGAAGATGGAGGGGTATTTTTTTCATTGAAAGCAAGACAAATGAAAAAGCTTTAAGATTATACCAATAACTCAGTATGCCCAAAAATTGACGATAGCCTGATCCCACCACGCTGCCTCACATTTGTTTATTTTGAGGAGGGAAGGCTGATCTCCACAGAACACAACACAATATCACTCTGGCCCAACACCTAAACAATTAGCGTCTATGTTGTTATGGGCACTCTGGACTTAGATCCGATTTCCTCGTATTAACATCATTTTCTGTAAGGATGGGTGTCCTTAGTCCACTGGTTAGGCAACCAGAGTTGAAATCAAGAGATTGCAGGTTCGGGGGTTCGAGGCTCAACTGGGTCGAATGATGTGTCCTTGGGAAAGATACTTTACACGAATTTTCCTCTTTGGCAAGGTCCAATTGGAGATGGATGTTGAATTTGAAGGCTCCACCTCTTAAATAGCCTTGCAGTGTTGTATGTAAAAGTAAAGTTATTCCCGCATCCGATCCGGACATTGGAGATTGCCCTGTTAGTGAGACAACTTCCTTGGCAATAAACCTCTATCATATTCTCACACATGTTCTACCTATAATGTGCCGATGTGCCTCCCATTTACTCAAGCAAACAAACAAGCAAGCAAGCAAATAAACAAACATACTAACTAACAAACAAACAAACAAACAAGTGCATTGCTTACACCACCCAATCCCGGTTTTCGTGATTGTCTTAGGTCGGAAGTTTGCAGACATTCACACATGTGTCAGGCTCAGTCCCACCGGAGATAGACTTTCAATTCGGAGGTCCGGTCTCTTAAACAGCCTTATAGTGTTGCAAAGGACGTCGCTTATACTTCAACCAGTACAATTCCGCAGATTTCCTTAAGGATGCATCACTCACAGCCATTGGCACCGCCTTCTGCGGTACTATGTATAGCGGTTGGGCGTGATGCTGTCGTATGTAGGAGACCCGAGTTCCATTTCGGAGTAGGCAGAATCTTTATCGAGTTTCTCGGGCTTTCTGCTGAGATGTTGTATTCCTCTCTTCCCGGTTGGCTTGACTCGCAAGATCGGAAAGCTGTCTCCTTAAATGATCTAAATTTTGTCAATGAGACCGTAAAAACACCTGCATCAACAATTAATTATAAATGGGAGTGAAAGGATCTCGTTGATAATCAATACTTTGTCAGAATATAGATTGGCATATATCACAACACAATTCCTACAACAGCTACTACTGCAGTCGAATTTGCTCTACCCACAATTGTCCGAAACGATTACCTGTACAAACGACCACACCCTACTTTCTCCTTGCATTTTTTTTTACGGTATAGTAACACCGTCCAAGAGGACCCCCTTTGGAAGATGACTACTTTAATCATCGACAATGTGTGGTCGTCTTGAACAGCTTTGAATGCATGCAATAAACATAGCAATGAGCAACATATAATTTGTGTCTATATCTTTTTACAGAGTTCAGAACAAGGCATCCTACGATGTGGACATACTGCCTCATTTATCTTATTCAATTTATTTTGTAATGAGAGCCATAAGCCTACCTGTCCATTTCTACTTTTTTTAAAAATCTTTTATTATTTCCATAACAAGTGTACTAATCATTTCCGAATACAAATAAAACCTTCCTCCTGAGAAAGCATTTGCAATGGCCTTGTCATTTCTTCTTTATTGCATGTAAGAGTGTGCAGCGTGTTTTGGATTTTTTTTTTTCATGTTTGCTTTGCCTTTTTGTTTTTTAGAGAGCATAAAAAGCTAACCAATGGCAGATTTTCTGTTTGATTCCTGAGGACTGGGGGGGGGGGGGGGGGGGGGGATAGACTGAGTTAAACGAACACCTCATCTTATGGTCCTGTCATGGTGTCGATATTCGATGTTTTTGTCGTGGTTTTTTGTGGGGGGGGGGGGGGGGTTTGTTCTGGCTTTTTTGTTGTTGTTTTTTCTTCAGATTACAGTATAAAGTTAAAAGGTGAATGAAAAATAAACTGTGAATAGATACCCGACTGCGCTGTAAGTATTTAAAAATAATGTCTGCTTAAAATCCGTTTCCGTATCACTGTAGACAGCGAAACAGTTCTGTCTTTCCTGCTTCTTTGTCTGGATATATCGAAAGAGGTCTCCTAATATTTGTTGTTTCTGTCCTCATCTTTAACTCGGACTATTTCTGCTTCATGGTGATTTGACAAAGCTCTAGGTATCGATAATAGAGACGAAATAGAACCAAAGGTGAGGCAGCGTGGTGGAATCAGGCTGTCGTCAAAATAATGAAATCGAAGAAAACAGCAGTTTTCTCCCTGCTGAGCGATTTTTACCAAATTTTTGTTTTTTGGCTCAACACCTTTTATGTCCATTTACAAACAAATCCCTTTGAGGATTTCACTGAAAACGTTGATTAAAGGCACAAATATATAAATTTACAGTTTCCATGGACTCTCCAGCTTTGGAATTTACCCAGATTTGGCAGCCATTTTCTCGCTAATTTTACCTCTTAAACCAGGTGACTCCCACCTCCTTCAATCCAAAAATTCTCCACTTCTATTGAAGATGGATGGGTAATTTTTTTCATTGAAAGCAAGACAAATGAACAAGCTTTAAGATGATACCAATGACTCAATATGCCCAAAAATTGACGAGAGCCTGATTCCACAACGCTGCCTCACATTAAGATACCTACTTTGTCTCAAAGAGACTTATAACCTCTTTGACTACGTCTAGATGTTTTCAAAACTGTAAGCGATGACGTCACAGTCACTCTGTCCGGTGCTGCCTTCTTGGTTTAATTTTAACAGAGACAGTACAGCTTGGGCAAGACCGCTAATCTGACCAATCCCGTGGCAACAGGAACTGCGGCGGTAAACTTAAACAAGCCTGGCTGATTCTAAGAACACACACTGTAAGAGGTGTGCAATAAACTGTTTTATTGTTGACAATCTGGATACAATCCTTTTTGTTCTTGGAATTATCTTTCGCTGTGACCATGGGTGTGAACTGATACATGTTTTATTCATTGATCTCGCAAAATTAAACGTTTCAGTCGTGATGTATAATATACTGTGGCTTGCATCATTCACTTATGACTCAAATATCATGCATCAATAGGGTTATCTGTTTAAATATTCGGCTTTGGTATTATTATGCTAGATATATGATTTAGCAGAGGGAGTGGTTCCAGCAAACAACCCCCGTGGGCGGCATCTATAATTCACGATTGGTAAAAAATGGACCAAGAACAATTCATAGAATGAAAAAAAAACCCCACCAAAACATGAGCTGTTTATCTTTGTCAGGTTTACAGAATAGTTCAGCCACGTTAATGCTGTTCTTCTAAAATCAATGCTAGTGTTTTTCAAATACCACTTTCCTGACTTGTTGGCCTGAGTCTGGGATACATGATGGATTCCCTATCTCGAGGACGATGCCTGGTAAAACTGAGTCTAGTAAAGACATTGGAGAAGACCACGGACGATGGCAACTGTACTCCAGCAAAAATATCAACGATTCAACTCTCTGACATGGAGCCACGGTATTGCCCATGGCTATCATCGTCGACTCCGCTTCACCCTGGTATTTTGAACTTTTCACTTTCAGAAATTATCAATGATCTTCATAAGAATGACCCTGGGTTTGAAAATGTTTTTCTATACTGTTGCTAGAGATTCCTACAGCTATAGACAGCAATTGGTGGGGGGTTAATGGACATAGGATTGGAAGGCGGCGGATTGTACATTTTGTTGTGATGCATGCAGAAGGAATGAATTCTTGCGACAAGATTATGATTGAAAAGTGTGGCAGTGAGTTGGGTGGAAGAGGGATGGAAGAAAGAAATGGTAAAAATGATCATGGTGGGGGACTTCCTTCTCGAAAGAAAAAGATTGGCAAGCACAACCGGAGATAAAATGAGCCCCAAAGGCTGGGATTCAAAAAAGGCAAGAATTTCTGAGCAGAAACAAAAAGATGCTCTTGTCAGAACAATAGATATCATTGTGACGAATTCAGTGATGAGGAAAGAGACAGATGTTTACAAAGCATGGAGACTCATATGGGTACAGAGACGGAAATTTGTAATTCATTGAAAAAGATTATGTGAGCGGGGGAAGTGCTTTCTGCGTCTGAAACAAGAGACCAAAGGTTTTGAAAATAAAGCGCATTCGGGTATTTTCAACAACGTAGCTGGCAGTTTACGGTAAGAGTTTGGAGAAAATTTTTTTATGTCAACCATCGGACTTTGGAACATGATGTGTTAGGCAGGAACTGGGTGATGAACGAGCAGTCAAACATGAATGCACGCTTGGCCGATGTTTCCCCTGTGTGGACGGGTTCTTCAACAAACAAGTTATAACGACTATCATCACTTACTGTATGGCTCAACTATTTTAGGACATTTCGATACCCTTTGTAGCATTTTCTGTACCATATCAAAGATTCTGAACAACAAGATGGTTCACTCCTCTCTTTGAACTCATTAAAGAAGTGTCTTCAAAATCCGGTGGCGCTATGTTCTAAAAAGCGCCCGTTTTGCGAACAGGGTTGCCTTTCTTGTGTGGAAAAAAATAAAGTGAATCTAACAAGTTTTTGTATAGATAATAATTAAAATTTCGGAATAACGCCTTTTTAAATTGTTACGCTGACAAAATTCCTATTCAGGGAAAAGGGGCGACTGTTTTCTTCGTTTAATTTGGCTCTAGAGCGAGAGGTCATTAAAATAAAATATACCCAAAGCTCCGCATCAAGCGAACCGGAGCAGTTGATGCGCAAGGGGGTTGCTATCCCTATTCTTCTTCTGGATAAACGAAAAAGAGCTTCAATACAAAGATTGCAGCGACAAAGCGCGGACTTCTGTGGACACTTTTTTAGCCGAGTGAACTATCTTGTTATGTACAACCTTTGACCATAATCATTACTCTATGATTACCATTATTCGATATCTCTTTTTGTCATTGTTCGATACCTCATTAGAATCATTATTGGCTATTTCTGTGGCACTGTAAATATTAGACACCACCATTGTCTAATCAGTATTCGATAACTCCATAACCCCATTACTATTAGAGTTTCCCTATTATTTAATTCCATTTAAATGGTAGCTATCCCGAAAAAAATGCTGTTTTGAGAAAATCGAAGGTAAAGTTTTTGCCCCTTGTTCAGTTTCTATAGAGAGAGTTTTCTCTATAACCAAGCAAATACATTACACCAATGAAACCAAACTTCTCTTACTGGTAGGACAATGCTCACTTTTGGTGTATGTCAAGATTTCTGGAAACCTCCGAAATCTGGGTTAGCTTAAAAGCGACAAATCTAGTCATTATTCGAGAACACTTTCTGGATAATGTAATTTTACTTTGCTCTTGATACTTCACCACCCGCTCAGAATTTTCAGTCAATATTTGAAATTTCCCGTAACCAATTAATATTCGACGCGACTATTGTATTGTCCATTGCCCTGTCATATTTCGATACATTTTAGCGTGACATTATTTGATAGCTTTCTGATCAGAACATCATTTCCATGACATCTAATTAAACTCATTGTAATGTTATGTTATCTACAATTTCTTTTCATGAATTTGAGTGAGGTAAAGTGAAGTGGATTGAGATCACATGCTTACCTTTCATAGACCTCTATAAAATAACGCCAATTTGTTTATATAGTCATTTGTGCAGACATTTAAATTATACTATGGTTTTGCGTAGACTAAATTCCAATATTTGTTGTTTCTATAAAAAACAATCAATAAACGTTTCTTAAGGCATATAAAGAATCGCAACATTTCCCCAATTTCGAAAAAACTTCTTGGTTGTTTTGTGTTTTCATTATTTAAAGCGGTTTTTCTGTTTTTCTGTTCATTGTTGCATAGTAACAACTTTTTAGGTCATTGTCTCCCTTACCCAAGCATTTATTAAGGTTTGTTGTTGATGAAATACTTCATTTAACCTACTTCATGAATGAGGAGTCCTCTGATATTGTGACTGGGTGTTCTGCCTTCAAAATCAACTGTGTTTGGTCCCGTAAGTCATCCCACATTTCAGTTGAGAAAAGATACGGTACTTTGAAAAAAATGTGTAGGCCTAACTATCGGTTAATCTGACTCGTGAAGCAAGGCTGGAGATGAAGGGAAATAACCGAGGAAAACGCTCGACCACCGCAGGTTCAAGAATGCCCATAACTCCTGCTCAATATGGTCAATGGTGTTTGTTTGTTGTTTTTTTGTTGTTGTTTTTTGTTTTGGGTTGTTTTTTTTTGGGATTGTTGTTTTTTTGTTGTTTTTTTTTGCTGTAGTTTGTTGTTGGGTTGTTGTGTTTTGTTTGCTTGGGTTTTTTTTAGCTTTTTTTTGTTGCTTATTTCTTTCTTTTTTTTCTTTTTTTTGGCAGGTGTTAAATGCGCTTGCAACTGCATATATGTCACACACTCACAAACAGAGAAAGAGAGAGGGACAAAGACAGAGAGAGAGAGAGAGAGAGAGAGAGAGAGAGAGAGAGAGAGAGAGAGAGAGAGAGAGAGAAGAGACAGAGACAGAGACACAGAGAGAGAGAGAGAGAGAGAGAGACAGAGAGAGAGAGAGACAGAGAGACAGAGAGACAGAGAGAGAGAGGGAGGGAGGGAAGTGGACAGAGAGTGAAAGACAGAGAGAGAAAGACAGAGAGAG